AAGAAAGAAAGAAAGAAAGAAAGAAAGAAAGAAAGAAAGAAAGAAAGAAAGAAAGCTAACAAAAAACTAGCCGGAGAGCTAGCCAGTAAGCAGAATTCATCCATGATTTCTGCTTGAGTTCCTACCCTGACCTCTCTCGATGATGGACCATGGCCTAGAAGTATAAGCCAAATAAAGCCTTTTCTTCTCAAGTTGTTTTTGGTCGGTGTTTTCTCACAGCATCAGGAAGAAATATTTTCTAATCTGTTCTGTGGGGACAAAGCCAAACAAAAACTCCACAAGAACTATAAAATATCTCTTGTAAAAAAAAATAAAGCAAAATTATTTTTGTTTTGGTTTCTTTTTTTGAGACAGGGTTTCTCTGTGTAACACACGGCTGTTCTGGAATTTACCCTGTAGACCAGACTGGCCTCGAACTCAGAGATCTGCCTGCCTCTGCCTCCAAAGTGCTGGGATTAAAAATATGTGCCACCACCAAACAACTAAGGCAAAATTCTTAAACAAAATAAAACATCAACAAACCAAATCCAACAGTTTAACAAATATATATATGCACACACAACGACAAACTGCAATTTGCCCCAATACTATTCAACAAGGAAGTAAAATTTTCTGAAGCAAATGGTACTGGCAAAATTGTACACTGGGCTGAGAGAGGGCTCAATGGATATAAGAACAAAATTTTAAACAGAAATAGAAAACCTGACCTTAAAGTTTGTATGAATTGCAGAGGATCTTGAATAGGCAAAACAGTCTTAACAGAAGAGCAAAACTGAAGGACTCACATTTCTTAACTCAAGACCTCCAAGACATATATATGCCATGGTACATGCCTGCAAGCCTTCAATCTTCCAAGGTGGAAGCAGTAAGAATAATTCAAGGTCTTCCTTGGTTATGAGGCAAACTTGACCTGTTTCATTTTTGTTTTGGGGTGTGTATGTAAGTATATGTAGGTGTTTATTTTGTTTTGTTGCCATGAGGTTGTAGCCCACACTTTTAATCCCAGCACTCAGGAGGCAGAGGAAAGCAGATCTCTGTGAATTCAAGGTTAGTCTGGGCTGAAAAATGAGTCCAGGACAACCAGTGCTACACACACACACACACACAAAAATCCTGTCTCAAAAAACTAAAACAATAACAACAACAACAAAACAAACAAGGTTTTTCTGTGTAGCCTTGGCTGTCCTGGACTTGCTTTGTAGACCAGGCTAGCCTCAAAAACAGACAGATCCACTTGTCTCTACCTCCCAAGTGCTGGGATTAAAGGCATGTGCCACCATGACTCTGCTTGGAATAGGTTTCTTTACATATAATAATGTAAATAAAAATAAAAGCAAATGTAAAATAGAAATAAAAAATAAACATAAATAGGTTTAGTTACAGAAATAAACCTATAGAGCTATGGTCAGTTGATTTCTTTGGTTAAGACAGGGTCTCACCTTGGAGACCAGGCTAACCTTGAGCTTACATTGTCATGCACCCTCCTAATGCCAGGGTTACATGTATATGCCACCACACCTGGCTGGTAACTGACTTTTGACATGGGGAAGAGTCCTTTTAATTAGAACAAACCCTGTAATAGGACCAGGGACAAAAAGACAAAATATTAAAGGAGCCTCATAGACCAAAGTGTCTTGTGAGGTTGCTACATGCCTAAGATACTAATATTAGACAGACTGAGACAGGAGGATCTTGAGATGGTAGTGTACAGACACATAAATAGGCAAAACACCCATACACATGAAATAATAAATAAATCTCAAATATATATGCCGATTGCATCTAAGTAGAGGTTTCTATAGAGAATGCCCAGACTAACAATTATTATATACATAAACATATATGACAATTATTATATGTAACATTATATACATACAACAAATATTGTGTATAATATACTATTGTAATCCACACAATCATGCATCTTTCACTACTGGTTAAAAAAAAAGAAACTCAACACACAGGGGATCAAGAGCCCTGCTTTGAGTATAAACTCACCGCAGGATCCCTGAGCTGCTCAGTAGGTCTTCAAAAGAATCCCAAATTGCTTTTACCTGATTGGGAATGGTTGGTAGGTGAGGCCCAATCTCAAGCTGACTCCAGGCACTAACAACTGTCAAATAAAAAGCAAACTCCAGTTTAGGTAAATCTAAATTCTGTGTAGAGAGATTATTGCGGGGGGGGGGGGGGCTTGCAATGAGCAATACAATTGCCATAGGCCAAGAGTATAAATGTTAGAGAAAAGAAGAAAGAAAGAAAGAAAAAAAAAAATCTAAGATAGGTGGAAGTGTAACTTAGAGGCAAATACCCCTAGCATGTAAAAAACATGATTCCACCCAACAATTCTAGATTTAGATTTAAGAGACTATTGTAGCCAGGGGAAGTGCACACACCTTTAATCCTAACACTCAGGAGGCTGAGGCAGGTGGATCTTTCCAGCTGGTCTACATAGTGAGTTCCAGAATAGCCAGAGATACCTAGTGAGACCCTGTCTGGAAAACAGAGAACAACAACAACAAAAGGAGACTATTGAACAGAGGAAACTTGATGAGATCTGCGACAGGTTTCTAGATTAAGTAGATAAGGGCTTTTTTTCTTTTTTCCTTTTTTTTTTGGGGGGGGGGGGGGTGTCCTTTTCTTTTATAGGGAAGAATAAATAGGGCTAGAAAAACGTGGGTATAGGAAAGTGGGACCAATCAACAGTACAGGAGACTGGACCAGACAGGACATCAGAGACACTTTGTTTATTCCAAAGTCAACATACTTTCTGGAATGGCAAAAAGGAGAGGAGGTGCTTCCTGGCTCAGGCTAAGGACATTCGAAAATTTGGGAACCTGGAGAAGGAATGCTTCACTAAAGTTTGGTATGTCAGGGCAGCTGGTATTTTGACCACATAGTGATTACAAGCAGTTCTGATAATCATTTATAGCGCAAAGACCGGGAATTTGGAGAGAATATGCCTGACCTTGTGTTGAGTAAAACAGCGGGCTTGCTGAAGTCATATCTAAATCCTATAGGAAGCCAACTCCGGAGGCAGAGACAGGAGGATCTCGAAGTTCGAGGCCAGCCTGATATACAGAGTGAGTTCCAGAACAGCCGGGGCTGCTAAACAGAGAAACCCTGTCTCGAAAAACCAAAACGGTAAATAAATAAATACACAAGCAAATAAATAAATCCTACAGGGGAGAGCAGTCTTTGCAGGGGGCCCTTTCAAGAACGCGAAGGGAGGGGGAGTTTCTTTAACTGTCACTCTTGGGATGACGGGGATCAGATGAAGCCCACTGACAGAATGTAGGGCGATCTCTGCAAGGCAAAGGGGAGGAGGAGACATAGGAAGAAATAGGAAGACTCTGGGTTGTCAGGTAAACGCCCACCTAGCTCCTGGCATTTTCCGCGCCTCCTAAGGAGGCATCAAGCAGCGGCGCCGGCGGCAGGGAAAAGACCGCCGCCATTAGTGCGCGCCAAGCCGAGGCCTGAGGTGACCCGCCGCAGGAAGCCCCGCCCCCGGCGCGCTCCCGTCCCGGCCGCCCGCGGCGCGCTCCCGCCTCGGCCGTGCGCGCTCCTCGGAGCCGCGCCGAGCCGTCCCTGGCGCGCGCCGGGCGGACTGAGCCTCGGAGGCGGGCCAGGCTTTCGGCGGCGGCGGCTGCGGCGGGGCCGCTGGTCCCCGGAGGATTTCCAGACGCTCCCGGGCTGAGGGGCTTCGGCCCGGCGGCGGTGGCGGCGCTTGCCGGCCCTAGGGGACGGACGACTGGGCCGCGGGGCCGCGCCCTGAGGTGAGTTTCCAGGCTTCGCGGCGCGGCGCGGCGCGTTCGGGCGGGCGAGCGGGCGGGCGTTTCCCGGGCTGCCGCCCGCCACCGCGGCGGGTCCGGGCCGCAGTGAGTCGGCAGCGGCGGCCTCCGGACCGCGCGGCCGGGCGAGGACGCTGGCGGACCGAGGCCTCCTCCCGGCCCCAGCCCGGCGCAGGTGACGGCCGACCTGCAGCTCCCCGCTCCGCCGGCCGCGCGGCTCGTCGCGCTTCTCTCCCCTCACGGCGCCCCGAAACTTGGACTTCGGTGCCGTCGAGACGTCGCCGTTTCCAAAGGCGAACGCTGCGGAAAGCGCACTCCAGAAATACAGGGTGACTCGTTCGCTGGACGTTTCGTAATTCGCTCCACCAGCTCACTCAGCTCACTTTAAGTGATATTTTTGGAAATATTTGATGTTCACTGTTGTCCTGATTGATGATTTCTTCTTCTTCTCCTCCTCCTCCTTCTTCTTCTTTCCTTTTTTCACTCCTTTTTTTTTTTCACTCGTGGCAATAAAAGTTTATTAACAGTAAAAATGAACGTTAGAGTGGCCTCCAGCGTTGGTTCTTTTTTTACGTAATTTGAAATGAAAAATAAGGAATAATCTGAATTTACTCGGTTTTTCTGTTTGTGTTTTTGTTTGTTTGTTGTCTTTGTCAGATCACATGCCGGACTTGAATTTGGGATTCTCAGACCCTCAAGTGCGTGGATTACAGACATGTAGCATCAGTTTTTAATTTTTGTGACAGGGTCTCGCTAATTAATCTTGGCTGGCTTGGAACTCACTCTGTGGACCAGGCTGGCCTCAAATTCGTAGACACCCTGCTGCCTCTGCCTCCTGAGTCCTAGGGTCAAAGGCATGCACTGTAGCTGTTCCCCACCCCACTTCCTCCACACCCCTGAGGCGAAATATTTGTACCCTTGGCTATTTGGCTTTCAAGTTGCTAAGTAGTACATTGTGGCCTCAAACTGTCATTTGCCTGCCTCAGTTGTCTTAGTGCTGGTGTTACAGGTGTGATTCATCTTCCGAGTTTGTTGTTGCAGGGAATACTGGTGTGATAACACTGACATTAGTGGTAGGTACTGGTGAAATGCAAAAGTCAGAATTGTGTTCAGGTAGGAAAGAGCGGTTGAGTACCGAGTACTAGGAAGAACTATAGATAGCAGTTAGGACTTGAGCACTGGCTCTTTTTTGGGGGGAGGGGTATGTGTTATTTGTTACTTTATGTGCACCAGCGTTTTCTCTGTGCACCATTTTTATGCCTGACACCTGTGGAAGGCAGAAGACGGTGTCAGGTCCCCTTAAAACTAGAGTTACAGATGGTTACCAGCCACTATAAGCTTGAATAAGTCCTCTACCACTGAATTACACCCCAGTCCTACACATATGCTATATTTTCTTCAAGTTAGGTGGACTTTTACTGGGGAGGAGCACACAAATGTCCACTCACCCAGACCAACCACCATTGACAGACCAAAGTTTGAATTCCACTGGAATCCAACTTCACTTGGCACGCTAATGAGTTTATTGGGCTTACTTACAGAGCATGGGTGACAGGTTACTTATAGGAGTATAGGTGATCCCAGAGCAGCTTCATCTCTCAAGTCTTACCCTAACATGGATGAGGACTTCTCATAACTCATAGATGGAGTTCCCCCACTGCCTCTCTCTTCATTTAATCTTCCACACTCCATAAATTCTGGTACCTCAGAAACCCACCAAGTATTGCTTGGGCAACATTATAGTCAACTGGATAGGAAATGGAGGAGGGAGGGCTTACGATTTCTAATGATCCTTCTCACTTTTTCCTGTTCTGTGAAGGAATGTCAACAGGCTTGATATTGAAGGTCTCTTGCAAGTCACAGCTGCTCTGATGAAAGTGGTTTATGTTCAGAGTACAGCATTCTGCATTAATGCTTGGGAGAATTATTTAATGTCTTAGTTTTATTCAGTTTTAAAAATTATGTACAACTGTAATCCCAGCACTAGGAAGGTAGAGACAGGCAGATCTCTGTGAGTTCCAGGCTAGCATAATCTATATAAGACCCTGCCTCAAATAATAAATAAATAAATAAATAAATAAACAAACAAACTAATGGACTGAGTACTAAGGAGATGATGGTGGCAATTATAGATTCTATGTTTAGATTACATGGTATAATTAGACAAAGAATTATGAAACACAGAAATAAATGCCAGTAAACCAAGGTAGAAGCTAAGAGGAAAAAATAAGTTATTTGTGAGAGGGTGTTAATAAAGGATTTACCCCAGCTTAGGAAAGCACAAAGTTTCTCTAGGAAAATAATTTTTGAGCTGAGAGTTTATTGGTAAATAGGAGTTAGGTGAAGGTTGACTTCTAAAAGAAAGAAAGACCCTGCAAAGGAAATAAATGCCACAGAGGCTAAGAGGATGGCCATTTCAGGAACAAAAAGCTCACATCTGAAATATGGAGAGCAAAAGGGGACTGAATAGATTAAGGCCAGATAAAACGTGTCACCTTTTTATGTAATGTGGATTTGGGAACAGTCTTTTTTTCAAAACCATTACAGAGAAAGACTGCTAAGTTAACTTAAGCAATGAGTTTCTTTGCTAATGCTTATTCTAGGGGGCAAAGTAAAGAAACCACTAAAATGACTGTTCCATGGTATGGTTAAGGGGAAGGTTTTTATTGTGCATAAGAGAGAAAGTATCCAGAGGTATCTGAAAGAATCCAGAGCTGAGAGAACTAGAAACAGACTGGACATGACCAGGGCAATCTACAAGAAAAGGGAGAACAGCACATAGGTAAAGTGTGAGAGAAGAGGGAGAGTAACTGAGGGAGCCTGGAGGTCTTCATGGGCTTTTATATACAGGCACAGGTATATGTCAGTGGAGCCATTTGTCCCTTCTGTCAAAGGTAAGGGAAATGATTCCTTTTGGCAGACGGAAACCAGTTTCACAAGTTCCTGAGAAATGCTGACTTTTACCTAAGCTCCTCCTATAGTCCTAGGTGAATTGGGCCTAGACTCAATGTTGGACCCAGTCAGTGGGTTTGCTCTTTTGTGGGTGCAAATAGGATACCCTTTGGGCATGATACCTATATTATTATCTTTCTGTTTTAGTACATGAATAAATATGTGCAATAGCTGTATAGTGATAAATAAATGAAATAATTGAAATAATAAAGTAACTTAATTATATATGACTATTTCGGCAAACATCTAGTAGTGGTGATGATCATAACTTTGAAGACTCTAGGTTACAATTAAGGGAACATACTTTTATTACAAGCTATTAAGTGCAGCTATGGTAAAAATGTGAAGAACTATATTAGTTCTCCTGTAAGGATTCGGACCTTAATCTGACAGCAGTGGGAATCATTGAGGGGTTTTCAGTAAGGAGGTCCAAAAATCAGATTTGTATTTTAAAAAGGTTATCCTGACAGCAGTGTAGCTACTAGTTTGAATGAGGATAAGAATGGGGATGTGGGTCTTTGGAACTAACATTCCAGGTCATCTAGGGACCTTGTCTCAGAAAAACAAACAAACCAATGAAAAACCTCTGGAAGCTGCAGAAAAGCTTAGTCAATAAACTAAATTCCTTGGGCAAGGATGAAGACCTGAATTTGGAACACCAGTATTCACATAAAAGTTAGGTATGGTGGTGGTGAACACCTATAATGTCAACACTGAGGGTACAGAGACAAGTGGATTTTTGGAGTTCACTGGTCTGCTAGTCTAGCTGAATCAATAAGCCCCAGGTTCTAGGAAGAAGCACTCTACATGAAAAATAAGGGGATGGTGTCTGAGAAGGAAACACCTGAAATTGCTCTTGGCCTCCACATGCATGCATACATACCTGCACATATATACACAAATACAGTGGGAAAATATCCAGGAAGACACCTGACATTGGCCTTTGGCCACCACATGCCTGCCGTCATGCATGTACACTACATGAACACTTAAACACAGTGTACACACCCCCAAAAATAAACCCTTCAAAATATTTTTTTTTTAGCAGTTGAAGAAAGATGTTTATTAAGGGCGGGGTGAGGAAATACACATATAGCAGACAAAAAAAAGAGACCCTCTGGAAAGCAAAAATAAAAAAAGTCCCCCTTTATTATTATTGGTGTCTTTGTGTGTGTGTTTTAATATGAATGAGTATTTTACTCAAAGTATGGTTGTCTGTATACCATGTGTGTGTGAGGTACCCTCAGAAGCCAGAGTGTAACTCTGGAACTTGAGTTATGGGTGGTTGTGAGTTGCCAAGTGAGTGTTAAGAATCTATTCCCAATCCTCTGGAAGAACAATAAGTTCTCTTAACTGCTGAGACATCTCTCCAGCCCATGTCTGTTGTTATAAAAAAGAAAAGAAAAGAAAATCCCAATCGTTCAGTTTGAAGACCCAGGAACAAGATGCTGGGATGAAAGCCTGCTAGCTCAAAGAGGCAGAGAAAGCACCCAGATGACCTTCCTATTCAGCTGACATCTCAGAAGGAGAAAACCCTTCCTATTCAGCTCCCATCCCAAAGAAAAAAGCCCCTTCTCCTCCATGCTGTCTTAAATACCCTTCAACTCAGTGTCCCTCTAATGCATTGCTATCTGTCCTCTGGACTTCTGCTCACTATGTTGTTGTTGGTTTTTGTTTTTTTTTTTTTCTCCCCACGTTCACTTCCTGTCAGTCTGGTTAATTGTTCTGCCTCTTGACCTAGGGTTAACTTTATTTAATCCTGTTTACAGAAAGCTCTTGGATTAAAGGTGTGTGCTAGGGCTGAGCCACACCACAAGAACTTGTTTACAATAAACAGCTCTAGGGGTAAAGACTGAGCCATACCACAATTAGAAACAGGTTTTTACAGTTCACAATCTTCAGGTTCTCAATGGGATCAAGTATCCTGCAACACCTTTTGTTTTGTTTTGTTTTGTTTTGTTTTGTTTTGTTTTGTTTTGTTTTGGGACAGGGTCTCACTGTGTGGCCCCAGGTAGCCTAGAACTCTTAGAGATCAGCCTGCCTCTACTTACCCAGTGGTGAAGTTAAAGGCTTGCTTTCTTTCATTTTTTGAAACAGGATCTTTCTCAGGGCCAAAGCTTGTCTTTAGCCACATAGCAGACATGATCTTAAACTCTCCGGGGATCATCCTTCCCATTTTCAGGTGCTGGGATTACAAGTGTGTTCCACCATATAATGCTGGGTGATTTGTTTTAGATTAAAATGACAATGTTGGCTTTGTTCATTTGTTCAAACTCTTTTAGTGCTACTTTTTGGTTACATGACATGTTAAAGAATACTGATATATAGGAATAAGTATTATTGAGAACTTTAACTTTCATGTCTTTTAACTTTTGCAGTAGCAGAAAGAGAATGAAAGAAGTAGATAATCTTGACAGTATAAAAGAAGAATGGTAAGTTAACTCAAGCAATGAGTTTGTTGATGCCTTCGTTATTTTCTTTCTGGTTTTCATTCATGTCACTGGCAGAATAGTAAAGGAGCTTTTAATTATACATGACCACTTCCATAAATTGGTAATAGTAATATATTTTAAGAGTGGTTTATTGTTTTTACTCAAAGCTGCATTGAATAGATTGTAGTAAAAGTTTATTCCATTAACTGCGTCTTAGAGCTCTTCTTTTGATCATGATTACTTTTTCTCTTTAATTTCCTTCCCTTTCTTTTGTAAGGATTAAACCTAGGAACTCACATATTCAAAACAAGTACCCTGCCACTGGGAAGAGCTACATCCTAGCTTTATTTTTGTTCTTGTGACAGGGCATCACTAAATTGCCCAGGTTAGCCTTAAACTCACTCTGTTGCCCACATATTCACTGAATTTGCAAATCTGCCCCAGCCTGCTAAGTAGCTGAGGATACAGGCTTACAGCAGTAGGCCAGGCTAAGATTGCATTTTTAAAAACTGCTATTTGAATAAAATTTATTATTACTATTAGTAGTAGTCATGTGTGTGTTTGTGTATGTGTGTACATATGTATGTCTGCATGCCACAGTGTTGTGGACTCAGTTTTGTGGACTCAGTTTTCTCCTTCCATGTTCTGGGTTCATAGGTTCTGGGAATTGAACTCAGCCTTACACAATAAGTACTTTACTGGCTAAGCCAATGTAATGAGCACTAACTATAAAATCTTTAGCCTTGTCTTCAATCCCTAATATTTTGTCTTTGGCCTTATCTATTTTTTCTTTTTTTAAATTCTTTTTTATTAATTACAGTTTATTCGCTTTGTATCCCAGCTGTAGCCCCCTCCTCACTCCCTCCCAATCCCCTCCTCCCTCCCTCATTTCCTCCCATGCCCCTCTCCAAGCTCTCCAAGCTCCTTTTTTTTTTTTTTTTTTTAATTAAGGATGGTTTTCTTTTTCTTTAAGATTTATTTGGTTTATTATGTATACAATGTTCTGCCTGCATGTACATCTGAACCCCAGAAGAGGGCACCAGATCTCATTATAGATGGTTATGAGTACCATGTGGTTACTGGGAATTGAACTCAGGACCTGTGGAAGAGCAAGCAGTGCTTTTAACCTCTGAGCCATCTCTCCAGCCCCAGCCTCATCTATTTACAGTGCTTTTCATTGAGGCTTGTTTTGATTATTGATTTATTATTTATTTGATTTATTCATAAAACTGTTCTTTGTTTTATTAGTTGGCTTTTGAGACAGGATCTCTCCCTGTGTAATCCTTGAACTCGCTCTAAAGACCAGGCTGTTCTGAAACTCCTATAGATATCCTCCATTGCTAAAGGTGTATACCACAACTCCCAGCTTAATTGTCTTTTCCATTTAATCTTCAGGACCATTTGTTATGGCATCTGCATCTTTGTTTCTTAAGGCAGTCTCATAATGGCCCTGACTATCCTTCAATACAGTATGTACCCAAGGATCACCTTGAACTTCTTATCTTCCTGTCTTTCCTACCAAAGTACTGAGATTATAGTCATGCACCACCACACCAGGTCTGTGTACTACTGAGGACTGAACCCAGAGCTTTGTGAATGCTAGACAAGTACTCCCAACTATGCTGCATTCCCAACGTAGTTCTGCATCTTAGAGATAAGAAAACCAAATCATAATTTTAAGTTTCTTATTTAGACTTAGTTTTTCTCACTACAACTACGTAAAGATAGCTAAACATGAACCACAAAGTCTGGACCTTTAGATAATATGCTATACTATAGCTATTTGATTAAAGAAAAAATCATTAGTATCATGATATCATTTTACAGTAACCATTTCTGTGTGAGAGGTATCATGTCCTTGTTTTGGAAAGACGTAATTAATACTGATAATATGAATGTTTTAATAGTATATATAGGAGAAAATGAACTAGGGGAGTAAAAAGAATACATCTAACTTAAAAGCATTACCATGGGTATGAGCCTTCTCTTCAGCTAGAACACCTGGCATTTGTTTGTTTACTTTTTGAGATAAGGTCTCACCACATAACCGTGATTGGCCTGGAGCTCATTTGTAGACCAGGCTGGCCTGGAATGCAACGGAAATCTGCTTGTCTCTCCTTTGAGTGCTGGGATTCACTATTACACCCCTGCACAGCTGGGTAATAGGTTTCAAACTCAGGTCCATGTGAGTGAGCCATATCCAACTGAGCTATATCCCCAATTTTGAGTACCAGCATTTTAATAATAATAAAATGATAGCTATTTTGAGAGATTGTCTGACATAGTGATAAGCACATAAGCCTTGCATAAGCAAATTACTTAGCCTTTTTCTTGATCTATTAAGATAAAAATGATACTTTGTAGGATCATTGTGAAGACTGAATGAGTTGGCACACGTGAAGTACTTAGAATAGTTCTTTATAGAGTTTGGTGGTTAGAAGCATAGACTTGAGATGTAGATTAGCAGCAGGAGTAATAAGAGTATCTACCTTACAGTTCCTAACAGTGAAAGATACAAAATGTTTATATTTCATCACTTCTTATAAATGTGCCTAACTTCCAAAAGCTTAGAATCCATTTCCGACAAGTAAAATCTTAGATAATATTTTTATCTGATAAAATACAAATTCAAAATAAACACACACAGACAAAGCTAGGTAGGTTTGGGCTGTGGTGGTGTATGCCTTTAATCTCAGCATTCAGGAGGCAGAGGCAGGTGGATCTCTGTGAGTTCGAGGCCAGCCTATCGTACAGAGAGAGTTCCAGGACAGCCAAGGCTGTTACACAGAGAAACCCTGTCTTAGAAAAACAAAAAGCCAAGTAGGGTGGCACATAGTTGTAATTCCAGTATTCAGAAGATAGAGACAGGAGAATCAGAAATTCAAGTTTCCAACATCTTGGGAAGTTGTTTAAAGACTGCCTGATCCCTCAGTAGTTTGAGACCAGCTTTGGCAAAATGATGAGACTGTGTGATAGGAATGATAAAAACGTTATTTTGAGCCCTTCAAAAATAACCTATTTCCAACTGAGCATATACATTAGTTGGTAGGGTTCTTGCCTAGTATTCATTAGGTCCTTGGTTCACTCCCCAGTACCATATAAACCCAGCACATGGTAGATGGAGACAGTAGTTCAAGGTCGTCCTTGGCTACGAGAAAGTTTGAGGTCAGCCTGGGGTATATGAGACCCTGTCTTCAAAAACAAGAAGTGTACTTATTATAGCACTTTAAGTGGAGATTGGTTAACAACTATTATTTTCTATGAGATCTTCTTTAAAAATGTATTTTTTTTTTAAGTTTAATTATGTCTGTGTAGGATTGTTGCATGTGTGGGCAGGTGCCTTCAGAGGCCAGAATAGAGCATTAAATCTGCTGATTCTTTAGCTGTGAGCTGCCACATCTTGGTGCTGGGAACCAAACTCAGGTCCTCTATAAGAGCAATACATACTCTTAACCTATAAGCCATCTTTCTAGCCCTCTATGACCTCTTTAAAAAAAAAAAATTTAATTCCGGGGCAAGTGTAATAGCTTCCTTGTTGCCAAACTTGACAGCCTGAGTTTGATCCCTAGAACCAACATGGTAGAAAGAGTAAACCACAAAGAGAGTCCAGGATAGCCAAGGCTATACCAAGAAACCCTGTCTTGAAAAAGAAAAAAAAAAAAAAGAAGAAACCAATTCCCCAAGTTGTTCCCTGACTTCCACAAGTGCTTCCACACGTGTACACATATATACATATTCATGCACATAAATATTATAATAATGAACATCTAGTTTGAGAGTTTTTTAGTTAATTTTTTAAGTTACAAAGTAATGGATTTATGATGGCATTTTCATACAAATGTATAACTCTACTTGGTTATCATTTGTGCCTTTCATAATGTTCTTGTTATCAATACTGTATGGATAAGGGTCAAGGGCCCTGCTAGACATCCTAAAATACAAAAGATGCTCTACACAGCAAAAAGTTAGCCCTCCCCAAAGGTTACATATTTATTAACTTGGAGGTAACAACACTTGTTTTCTTTTGTTTTAGGGTTTGTGAAACAGGACCTCCTGACAGTCAGTCCCTCAATGATAATCAACAAAAGGACTGTGACTGTATTGTTGACAGCCTTTTTGAGGAAGCAGAGAAGGTTGGTGCCAAAAGTTTGTCCCCTGCAGAACAGAAGAAACAGGTAAATGTCTCTTACTTAGTGGCTTCTAGGAAGATCCTAAAGTCAAAACTACTTTTGTAATAGTAAAGCTATTTTTTACCATTTTCATGATGTTGGATTTGCACAGGTGCCAGGAAAGCAGAGGTGGTAAAGCTGAGCAGGAAGCAGAGCAGTCACAACAAACTGAATTATAAAGTTATCGTATTACTTGCTTAAATTTACAAACCAAATAAATGCTGTTTTCAGTTAGAAATATCTGTGAGGGGGCTGAGGACGTAACTCAGCTGATAAATGGTTACATAGCAAACAACACTCTGAGTTCAGTCAACACCAGCACTGCATCAGCTGGGCAAGGTGAAAAGTATCTGTAATCCAGCACTTAGGAGAGTCAGGAGAACAGCAAGTGCAAAGTTGTCCTCAGCTACATAGTACGTTCAAGGCTAGAATACTCAGGATGGAAGGAAGCCAGGGAGGTGGCTGTTAGAGGGTTAGGATCTGATTTGTATTCCCAGTTGCCACATAAAAAGTCCAGGGCTGGGAAAAAAAAAAAAAAAAAAAAAAGGCCAGGACTGGAGAAACAGACCCAAGAGGATCCCAGTGGCTTGGTGACCAGTCAGTCTAGCTGAATTGGTGAACCCCAGGTTCAGTAAGAGATCCTGTCTCCTACAGCTGGGATACAAAATGAATAAACTATTGGAAAAAAGAGAGAGAGAGAGAGAGAGAGAGAGAGAGATCCTGGGTAGTGGCAATAGCTCACTGAGTGAGGCCACCTGCTGCCAGGCCCAACAATCTGAAACCCACATGGTAGGAGAGAACTGACTCCCATAAGTTGCCCTTTGACCTATATACACACCTATATACTCTAGATACTTTGGGTTGTTTTTGTTGTTTTTTTTTTTCTTTTAGATTTATTTATTTTATGTGTTTGGGTGTTTTGTAGGAATGTGTGTGAATGTGTGTCTGCTACCCACAGAGTGTATCAGTTATCCAGGAACTAGAGTTACAGATGTTTGAGAACCACCATGCAGGTACCAGGAACCAAACCAGGTCCTCTGCAAAAGCAACAAATGCTCTTAACTGCTAAGCCAATTCTCCAGCCTGAATTTCTTTTCTTTTTTTTTTTGTTTTTTAACATTAAAAAAATATAAGATAGTAATTGAAAAAGACACATCAACTTCTGGCCTCCACGTGCACACAAACACATATGTACCCATTAAACTTGGCTATCTTGGCAGGCATTTTCACAGAATAAGTGAGACTAGTACTGCAAGGGAAACAGCTTACAGTATTTGTTACAAATGCAAAGATTTTACTTTATCACCTTTTAACTAAAATAAGAATTTGAAGAAATTACAATTATTACTTGACAGCTTTTCAAACATAACAGTATTTCCTCATAAAGTTAGTGTTATTTTAATAAATATAGTATGTATTATATAAGGAAATACGTTAGCATTTAGATTTGGTATGGCTAGGGAACCACTGTTTTCCAAATGACTCTGTATGTATGTTATTATAAAGTCATGCATTGAGCCTAGGTGTGGTGGCACAGGCCTGTAAACTCCAAACTTGAGCTAAGGTAGAAGGATGAGTTCAAGGCCAACCTGTGCTATTTAATGAACTTGTGGTCAGCCTAGGCTATATATATTTTTTGTGTCCAGAGGGGGGAAAAATCATGTATGAGTAAAACCTCCCAAGTAAAGTACATATGTGAGGATTTTAATGTAATTAGTATATTAAAAGGTGAATAATGAGTTTCTAATTTCACATTCAGATTCTCAACTAACTTTTGAGATCTTGCCACATATGAAGCCTTGATGAACTGTCTATATCTAGGAAACATTTTAAAAATAACTTTGTAACTGCATACCTATATAAGGTTTGATTTTTAAAAGGTATCTCAATCATAATAGTGCCAATTATAAGAATCCAACTGACTTTTTGAAGACTGACATTAAGAGGGTATGTGAAAAAACTCTCATTCTGATTTTCTTTCTTTGTTTTTTAAGAGAAAGGGTTTAATCAAATTTGGACTTGGGAGTTATTCTGATCCTCCTTGCCTCTACTTCCTGAGTGCAGGGATTAGTAGATGCTAGCATGCTTGGTTTTATGCAGAACTAGAAGAAAACCCAGGAAATCACCCTACAGATTGTGCTACATTTCCAGGCCCTCTTAAAACTGTTTTTTCAAAGTTTAAGTTATAAAAAATTAAAGTTTAGGAGGCTGATAAGAAGGCTTAGAGGATAAAAGTGCTGGCTGCTAAGCCTGATAGTCTGAGTTCAGTTCCTGAGAGCCATATGGAAGACAGAATGAACTCTCACAGGTTGTTCTCTTGACTTCCACACACATGCTGTGGCATGCACACACTCACTCACAAATACTCACAAACACACATACATTTAGACTCAAGGTAAATAAATAAATATCATTAAATATAATAAAAATGTTAGGGCCCGAGCGGGTGGGTAGAGGCATTTGCTGCTGAGCCTGATGACGTGGATTCAATTTCAGGGACTCACGATGGATTACTCTAAGTCAGTCAGGTGAATGATCTGCAGTAGCCATAGCAAGCATAAGAATAAATAGCAAGTAGCAGATGTAACATATACATATTGTTGTAAATCAGGAGCTTATAAAAATCTAACAGAAATCAGCTGGGGAAGCCCTGTTGAAACAATCATATGGAGTCCCCAGTCCGAGAGTGCCCTTGAGTGAGGCTGCCAAGCAGAAGAACAAGTAGCAGCAGGTGGATTACATCACCTGATCGGTTGAGCACGAAGTCCAGCAGAAACTAACTGGGGAGGTTACAGCAGTCAGTTCCTGATTGAGCTTTCTTTCCAAGGATTAGCTTTCCATGGCTGAACTTCTGGCTTCTTTTTCCCCTTGTAAACATTTTTTATATCATGACGTAAACAAGAGCTTCAGTTATAAATAATATACTTTCTAACTGTACTTGAGTATATAAGGCAGGAGGATCAAGAGTTTATGGTCAGCCTCAGCTCTATAGCAAATATGAGGAAAACACTCCCAAATACTTTCAGGCACTTCCCTTTAAAACTATATTGTTATGGGCCCTAAAGTGGATTGTTTTTCATTAAATCAATCTAGAAGCAGGCTTACCATTCCAGGTCATTTTCTTGTTTGCTTCTCTCTGTCACCCAGTCTCTCTGGGGATGCTCTTAGATACTGAACTTTTTCAACTAAGTTATCTTCTGAATATAGGCTTGTTAGATTCAGGTGGTTTTGGATAACTTAATTATGGTGCTTTTTGTTTTTGCATCTGTGAAGAGATAATTTTTATCTTACGTAAATATCAACAGGAATAAGTTTATGTAGGGAAACTATCTTAGACTGTGAACCATTATCATGTGGGGCTGAGAACTGAACCTTTCTGTAAGAGCAATAAGCACTTTTAGCAACTGAACCATCTCTCTAGCCCAGCTTTTTGAGGCAGGATAACACATTGTAGTTCAGACTGACCTGGTTGGTACTTGGTTTATAGCCCAGGCTGGACACTGGAACTCATAGTCCTGTCTCAGCATCCTGAGGGCTGGAATTACAAGCATGCTTCACCATACCATCCCTGCATGTTCTTCATGCTCAGAGTCATTTCAGATGAAGTCCTCTTACTGGTGAGAGTCTAGAAAGCTTTACCTCAGGTGTCCTCTGAGTCACACATGACATAGAACTTTTTTTCTAAGGAGTTATCTTAATATTACTAATACTTTTTTAACCACATTACTTATGTAAATACATGGTTTTTTATATTTTACATTTGAAGTTTGCATATGGAATATAGAGTGACAGGGGGATGGAGGGATGGCTCAGCAGTTTAAAGCACTGGCTACTCTTCCAGAGGGCCTGGACTAGCTGGGTGTGGTGGTGCACACCTGTAGTCTTAGCACTCTGGGAGGCAAAGGCGGATCTCTGTGAGTTTGAGGCCAGCCTGGTCCTCAAAGTGAATGCAGGACAGCCAGGGCTACCCAGAGAAACCCTGTCTCGAAAAATAAAAAATCCAAACAAACAGAGGGTTGGGTTCAATTCTCATCATATACATGGTAGCTCACAATCTTCTGTGACTCCAGTTCCTGGGGAGCCAACATGTTCTTCTGGCCTCTATGGGCACCGCACACATGCAGGCTCAATAATCATATACGTAAAATATATACAGTTTTGAAAAATAGATAGGAAGTTCAGAGGACTTCATTTACTACTGTCACCCATTACTAACAAAGCATTCCTTTCTTTACTGCCTTGTAGGTAGATGTAAACATAAAATTATGGAAAAATGGATTCACGGTCAATGATGATTTTAGAAGTTACTCTGATGGTGCAAGTCAGCAGTTTCTGAACTCCATCAAAAAGGGGTAAGCAGGCTGTACATGTGTCCTATGAAAGAATCATTTGTAATGATGATTGTGCCCCTTTACTCATTCACAAACATACTATTTCTTCTGTGAAGTCACATCTCTTCCTTTTTGGGGGAGGGGGTGTGGAGAGTTGGGGTATGTTTGTTTGTGTTTGTTTGTTTGTTTGTTTGTTTAAACAACAGCTGGAACTGGAGAGATGGCTCAAAGGTTAGGATGTTTCCTGCTCTACTTTAGGGTCTGTAGTGTCGTTGTGCGACATCCTTTTCTGGCCACCAAAGGCATCTGCCCGCACATGCATATACCTACACACAGGCATAAATACAATGCAAAATCTTTAAACAGTCTCAGCTAGCCTTGAAATCCAAGGTATAAGCTACTGTATCTGGCTTAAATTGATCTTTTTTTTTCTTACACACTCTCTCTCTCACCTTGACCCCTCCTCTTTCCCTCTTCCTTCCCTCTCCTCCCTCCAGGCTGACCTTGGATTCAAAGAAAAACTTGAAAATTACCAATAATTTTAATACTCAGAAATAGCTGCCATTAACATCTTTGTTTAATTTCATTCCTGTGAAGTGAAAATTTTTTTCACTTTGTTGGCATTTATGTGCCTTGATTGATTTTTATTTTTTAAGATTTTAAATTTTATTTTATGTTTATGGGTGTTTGTCTGCATGTATGTCTGTGCGCCATGTGCTTGCTTGGTGCCCGTGGAAGCCAGAAGACAGCATCTGCTCCTCTGGAGTTACAGATGATTGTGAGCCACCATGTGGGTGCTAGGAATTGAAATTTGGTTCCTCTGGAAGAGCAGCTAGTGTTCTTAACCACTGAGCTGCCTCTCCAGCCCATGCATTGATTTATATTTATAAACCAGTTTTTAGTTTTTCATCATGAGTTCTTTGAATATACCATATATTATCCCAGTGATAACTTATTATTCATATATAATACATATTTTACACACACATATTACATATGTATATAATATACGTACACATGTTATGCCCAGATCACAAAAACCACCAGGAGACTGACCACGTATGCAAGAATAAAGAGCCTTTATTTTGGGCTTAAGCTCAGACTCCCCACCATCCAATGCAGTGGATTATGGAGGGAGCCCCAGTAGCTGCAAAGCTGGATTTTTATTATGGTTTGAGCAAGGGACAGGACTTTCCAACCTGGCATGTACATGATTGGTTCACATTGAGCAGAAGCAAGCTTGTCATAAACCGATTGGTTGGTGCTGATCTAGGGGACAGAGCCACTTCATGGAGTGTCCCAGTAACAAGGTGTGCCCAGGTAACAAAGAGTGCTAACAAAAAGTGCCCAGGTCACAATATCATTTTGACTAGCTAAGCAAAGGTTTCTAATTAACCTTTAATTTGATTGGTCAAATGCTTAGGGACTTTTCAAGGCCGTTACTAAATTATTGTTTCTGGTTTCAGGAAGGTATTGAGTTATTGTATCTCATTACCTTGGACTATAGTTTCATGTTCTGAGAAATAGAAACAGCATCTAAGCAACTGTGGGAACATTACCAGGAAACAGAAACTCGGGCCTACAGTATCAAGGCTGATTATGCACTGTAATGGCAGCACAGCTGCTGCAGTGCCGCTGCCTGGGCCCTTCACACGCATTTCCTTTAATTTTTGTTTTGTTTTATTGTATTTTTTTGGCAATTGGGACTATTTAACTTTGTTACTATAAAAAAGTATCTGGCTAGGCATGGTGGTACATGCCTTTAATCTTAGCATTCTCAAGGCAGATCTCTGAGTTCAAAGACAGCCAGGGTTGTATAGTGAGATACGTTATAGTTTGTCTTTTTATCAGTGGTGAGATGCCAATTTTATATTTAGAGCTATTGTAAATAATGTTGCTATGAATATTTCTGTGCAGGTGTTTTACTTTTTGATTGTTTGGTTGGTTTGGGTTTGCTTTTTGCTTTGCAGGGATATGGATCAAAGCCAGAGCTTTATGCAAGCTAGGCAAGTGCTCTGCTACTGAACTACACTCCCACACCCTGTACAAATTATTTGGCTGACCTGAGCTGTATGAGATGTTTTATTCTGGTTCATTACTGAATATGACCTTGAAGTTCTTATCCTTCTGTCTTTACCACTCAAATGCTAGCATTAGAGATATGTATCACTAACCCAACGAAGTTTTTTGTTTTTAATTTTTTTAATTGTATGTATGCAAGGGTAGAGGATGCATTGCACACATGTGTGCAGATGCCTGCAGAGGCAAGAGGTATCATATCCCCTGGAACTGTAGTTAGAGGACATTGTAAGCCACCTAATGCAGGTTCTAGAGGCAAACTTGGGTGCTCTGGAAGAGGAGACTATGCTCTTAACTCCTGATCTCTCCAGCTCTTGGCTAAGTTTTTATGTGGACAGATGTTTTCGGTTAGGCATATGCATGTACATATATATCTCAAAAAATGTTAAATCTATCTAAGTTCACAAAGAGCTGCTGAACTGTATTCTAAAGTGGCTATATCATTTAAGACAACCCCAGAAATATACCAGCAATTATGACGGTTACAGTTTTTCTGTCTCCATTAATGTCTGCCAGTTCCAGTCTTTTTAAATTATAGCTTTTCTTATAAGCAAGAAACAATGTTTTATTCTGGTTCTTCTTTTCATTTTCCTGATGACCAGGAATGTTGAATGGTCTTTCTGTGTTTATCTTCTTCGGAGAAATATCTGTCTAAATTATTTGTCTATTTTTTTTCTTTGCCTGTTTTAATATTAGATTATTTGCTTCCCGAAACCCATTTCTGGAGAAATCCAACTCGTGCCTTGCACATTATGACCACTGTTCAACCACTGAGCTATAAACCCCAGTCCACCCCATAGGAGTTCTTACATATTCTGTATCCATATTTCTTATTGGATAATTTGGACTCAATTTTTAAAAATAATTATATTGAATTATGATGTATATGAAGAATATTTAGGCTGGGTGTGGTGGCACACACCTTTAACCCCAGCACTCTGGAAACAGTCAGATGGATCACTGAGTTTGAGGCCAGCCAGGGCTATATAAAGATACCCCGTCTTAAAAGCAAGCAAACAAGGAAAGATATTGGAAATACTAGACAAAGCCTGGGTCTGGAGCCAATCTCTGTTATTTAAATGTTAGAAGGATGAAATGTGAGCCGGGAAGTGGTGGTATATACCTGTATTTCCAGCACTCGGATGGCAAGCGGCAAGTAGATCTCTGAGTTCGAGGCCAGCCTAGTCTACGGAACAACTCTAGGATAGCCAGGGCTACACAGAGGAACCCTGTTTCAAAAAACCAAAAATTTTAAAAAAGGCTGAAATGTGAAAACATTTTTTAATTCAATAGTGGTTTGTATTTCACCTTTGTCATTATCAATGTAAATCTATTTGTTTGCTTGTTTGTTTTGTTTTTTACAGACAGGGTTTCTCTTTGTAGCCCTGGCTATCCTGGAACTCACTTTGTAGACCAAGCTGGTCTTGAATTCAGAGATCTGCCTGCCTCTGCCTCCCAAGTGCTAGGATCAAAAGCATGCACCACCACGCCTAGCAGTAAATCTATATTTTTATTTTAAAACCTAGATGAACCAAGAAAGTGTCCCTCCTGTAACCTACACAATTGGCAGGAGGATTGTCATGTCATGAATTCTAGGCCAGCCTGTGCTACCAAGTCAGAACCTCTCAAAAACAAAAACCACCACTAGCCAAGTGTGGTGACATATGCCTATAATTCTGCATTTAAGAGGTGAGCCATGAATCAGAGATGCAAGGCTAGCCTGGCATACCTGAGACCCCATCTCAAAAAAGCAAATAACAATAACGAAAACAAAACTGAAGCTTAATATTTCTACTCATCTTTAGTCCTTTGGTCATGTATTTTTTAAAAAAAAAATCATAAAAACTAATGGGGTTTCAGATGGCTCATCTGATCAAAGTTTTTTCCCATCAAGCCTGAAGAACTGAGTTCAATCCCCAGAATCCACAGTGAAAGGAGAAAACTGACTCCAACGGTTGTCCTCTGACCTCTGCATATGCCATGGCACACACATGCCTGTATTCATACATACCATACATACACGTAATAATAATAATAATTTTTAACTGGGGTAGAGGTGACTCAGCTGTGCAGAGTGCGTCTGCACTCATGAGGACCTGATGGTCATTGTCTCATGCACCTGTAACCCCAGCACTGTGGCAGAGTGGAGATAGAAGGATTGTTGGTGCTTATTAGATGCCTAAGCCAGCTTAAAAAAAAAAAAAAAGAAAGAGCTGTTGGTTCACAGAGAGACTGCCTCAGATGAGTAAGGCAGAAAGTCATAAAATACCTAACACCCTCTTGTGGCTTTCATGCACGCATGCATAGGTATAAGCATTACCCATATACATAAGCATATGTACTCATATACACACAATGAAACTATTTAAATTTATCAAAACGTAATCAAGTATTTTGAATTTAATACTATTTTAGATAATGCTATAAAGCTGAATATATGACCTTTAAAATTATTATACCTCTTAGGGTTTGTGTATGCATATTATTTGGTGATATTACTTTTATTTATTTATTATTTATATAGCATTCTACTTGCATGTATGTGCTTGCATACCAGAACTGGACACCGGATCTCACTATAGATGGTTATAAGCCACCGTGTAGTTGCTGGGAATTGAACTCAGGACTTTTGGAAGAACAGCCATTGTTCTTAACCTCTGAGCCATCTCTCCAGCCCAGTGATATTACTTTTAATACATTCAATTATTTCAACGTAGAGGTATTATGTATATATCATTTATATTTGTTGTTTCATGTATTTAAGTTTTTAACATTTGTTTATTTATTTATACATACAAAACACCCCTGTGTGCCATGGCCTGACTTCTAATGAAGTCTGAAGACAACTTGCAAGAGTTGGTTCTCTTCTTCCACCATGTGGGTTCCAGAGATGAAACTCAGGTGGTCCGGCCTGGTAGCAAGTACCTTTACTGGCCCTATTTATTTTTACACAGGTCTCTTGTAGTCCAGGCTGACCTCAACTTTGCTGTGTGGTCAAGGATAACCTTGAACTTTCCTCCTGCTTCGGTGTCCCAAGTGCTGGGGTTATAGCATGTGCCACCATGCCTCATTTCTGTGGTGCTAGAGATTAAACTCAAGACCTGCACATGCTACATAAGTGCTCTACCAGCTAAGCTACCTCCTCAACCCGTATCTTATACTTCTGCAAATCATGCAGTTCTTTTGCCATATAGAAAGTGTATTTCAGAGAAAGAGAAAACAGGAGTTTATCATTTTCTTTTCTTTCAAAGGGAATTACCTTCAGAATTACGAGGAGTTTTTGATAAGGAGGAGGTGGATGTTAAAGTTGAAGATAAAAAAAATGAAGTATGTATGTCTACAAAGCCTGTGTTCCAACCCTTCTCAGGACAGGGCCACAGACTAGGAAGGTGAGCAAGGTTATTGTCTGTGCTTTCTATGACAAGCGTTCTCTTACTATTCTGACCATACACAACTTGATATTTCTCATGCTAGAAAGGATTCTTTTTTTTTTTTCTGGTGCTGAGGGTCAAACCTACGGCCCATACGCATGTGAGGCAAAGTACTTACTACTGAAATACATCCCAGTTCCCAAGTGAAATTTTGTTTTGGTTTTGGTTTGCTTTGTTTTAGGCAGCATCTCTATGTATCCAAGGATGGCTTTGAACTTCTGATCCTTCTGCCTCCACCTCCCAAGTCCTGAGATTTTGGTGTTTGCCACATGCTCAGTGTTATGGGGTATTATAAGTTGAAACAAGGACTTGTCTGTGCTAAGTAAGCACTCTACCGATTGAGCTACATACCCAGCCTATTACCTTTGTAAAATTAATATAAGACAATACTAATTTTGGGTATTTGGAGGGGTCCTCAGATCAGAAGTTCCTGTTGAGGACAAAATTAAATAAATCATTTTTTTTCTCCCTACTTATAATACTAAAGCACCTCTGCTAACTCTCTAAAAATAAAGTTCCAGCTTTTCCTCTGCTCTGGACAAAACTTACCTATAGTTTCCAGTGCCCACACTTTATTCTAGGATCGCTGTCTGAAATTTAATATATTAAACATAAGAATATGCCTGATAAAGTATCAGTGTCAAAGCTGTGTGATAGCACCTGTGACAGAACATACAGAGATTAGACATGAGGCCACTTGGCTTTTTATAAATGCCAAGTTATCAGTTTCGGTTATCAGTGCTGGGAAGGTATATATATTTTCAGCTTTACATCTAGAAACTTACAGGTGTATCTTCCAAAATACTTTGTTTGCTTTCTTTTCCTTGATAATTCAAGGGCTAACCTCTACACAAAACTTCTAATTTCTTTTAGAGATTCATCCTGTGCCCCAAGTAATGCTAATTTACATGTCACTTTGTAAGTTTACAGATTAATTTGATGTGCATAATTGCCTTTGATTCCTAGAACGTCATATGTTGTGACCATATAAATAAATGTTGTGACATTTATTACTGAGGGAATAGTTATATATTTATAAGATTTATAAAACTCTTCCTAAAATGAGTTTAACAATTTTTATAATAATGAGAAAATATGTATCTGACTTTGTTGTTTGGATTTTCCCAGTGCTACACCAAAAATCGTTTCTAAAGCAAGGAGTATCGAGATTGACAATAAAAGCACTTTGTCTGCTGTTTCACTGAACAACTTGGAACCCATTACCAGGATCCAGATCTGGTTAGCCAATGGGGAAAGGACTGTCCAAAGATTTAATGTTTCTCATAGGTCAGTCCTTTGTTTTCTACTTGTCTAGTTTCTTTTCCAATTTTAATTTTTTTTTCTTCTGTTAAGTTTGGACAACACTGATTTTTGAGAACCAATGAAGTTATCTAAATATACGATGTCACTGCAACATAGGATTCTTAGATTCAACTATTTATAGTCTAGGGTATGTTTTCCTTTGTTTTGGTATCATGTTTTGAGTGTTTATTTGGGCTTCTATACTGTAGCTATTCTTCTTCTCTCTGACACTCTATTTTGTTGTTGTTGCTGGGTAGCTCATATGTGTTAGGCATATATGCCTTGCAGTGAGCTACAGCCCCAGCCCAATTTTTTTTGTCTACTGTATTCTACCATATATAAATAATTGTTTATTCATTCTGTTTTTATTGGCAGCAGTCTGTTTATTTATGCAGATGTGTCAGTTTTCCTGTGCCATCACAAAAATCCCAAGAAACATGATAACTGAGTTTTAAAAAGTTATAGAACAGAGCAGGGTGTGGAGTTGCAGGCCTTTAATGCCATGACTTGGGGGCAGATACAGTGGGTCTCTAAGAGTTAGGGCAGCCTGGTTTACATAGTGAGATCTAGGCCAGCCAAGGCCACACAGTGAGATCCTGTCTCAGAATAGAAAAAAAAAAAAAAGACGTTATAGAACAAGTTCACTATAATCCTATTCATACTTTAGAAAAAGCACGACTCTTGTTTCAGTCTTTCTCCTGTGTTTCTTGGTATGGCTTTGTGGATCTCAGCTGGGCTCATTTGCAGGTCCTCTGAGGGAGCTCTGTAGATCACTAACTAAATCTGCTCCTTCTGTCTCCCATTTTCTTTTCTTTTTTTTCTTTTTTTTTTAAGATTTATTCATTAAAAAAAAAAAGGATTTATTCATTGTCTATACAACATTCTGTCTGCATGCACGCCAGAAGAGGGCACAAGACCTCACTATAGATGGTTGTGAGCTACCATGTGGTTGCTGGGAATTGAACTCTGGACCTCTGGAAGAGCAGCCAGTGCTCTTAACTGTTTTCCAGCCCCTCTACTTGTTTTCTTAAGCCAACTGCTGGTTCCTAATCCACTTGCCTTCCTCTACTGCAACCATAACAGATGAAATGGTGGGAGATAAGGTCTGTATTAAGTGTCAGTAGACATTTAGTCAGGTATAGTGGCATACCCTTGTAATCCCAGCACTTGAGAGTTAGAAGCAGAAATATTGCATCAAGTTCATGGGCAGTCTAATCTTCTTGGTGAGTCAATCAGGGCTACATAGCAAGATTTGTCTCAGAAAAAAAAAAAAGTAAGACCTTTAAAACCTATACTATAAAAATTACTGCCAGGCAAATTCAGCAAAATGAATGATTTTTTTTAATTCATATATGTTATAAATCTGGCAATAAAGTCTTAGATGATATTCTCAGGAGAATAAACAAATTGCCTGTCCATTGGTTTTTTAGAGTAATATTCTACCACTGGACTATCCTGTTTTTATTTTGTGTTAACTTTGGGACAGTTCTCACCAAGTTACCAGTCAGGCTTTGAACTTCAATCCTCCTACCTCAGCCTTCCCTTTGTAACTGGAATTACAAAGCTGTGTCACCAGACTCAGCTTAGTTTCTCATTTATTTACTATTTTTTTCTCATCTTGTGTTTGTTTGTTCCTTTTGTTTTTGAGCTAGGACCTTATGTATCCCAGGCTTAGGACATAGAGCCAGGAAGATGAGAAGTTCAAAGACATTCTCAGCTACATTGCACATTTGAGACCAGCCTGGGCTACATGAAATTATGTCCTGAAAAAAAAAAAAGATTTTTGTATCAGGTTGGAGATGTGTTTCAATGCTTACACAAAACCTTGGGTTTAATCTCCATCATTGAAAAAAGTACAAAAAGGTTTACATCACTAACACAGCTAGTACATGAAGAAAATGGACTTCGGTGATGGAACCAGAAATGACTGGGGTCTGAGTCTCAACAGTGTTCAGATCTTACCTCCTTGGTTGCTTATGTTGTGTACTTTGTGGAAGTACTTGAGTGATTTGAATAATGCTTGCAAAATTAAGTCTAAAAGGACTCTGCTTCAATAAATAAAAACAGAAATTCCAAATGTCAAGAAAATATTTTGGGAGAGGGAGGGTGGGATTGGGAGGAGATGAGAGAGGGAGCCACAGGCAGGATACAAATTGAATAAATTGCGATAGATGATAATAATAAAAAAAATGTTTTTGAGTGCTGGGGTTAAAGCTCAGTAGTAGAGCACTTGTCTAACATGCACAAGTCCCTGTGTTTGGTTCCTACCGCTGCAAAAGAGAAAGAAAGAAGAAAAGGCAAAGGGAGGGGCGAAGGAGAAAAAAGGAAAACACTATACCATCATTTTTATTTTAGACAATTCATAGGGCTAGTAAAATGGCTTGGTGATAAAAAGCACCTGCTGCACAAGCCTGGAAGACTAAGTTAGATCCCTCAGAATGGTGGGTAGGAAGGGCCTCCATATATGCACAGGAGGATAAATTAGCAAATGCTTTAGCTAGTAATAAAATAATGCTGTGCTATAAAAATGGCATCTTAGTTTTGATAAATGGCATGTACAGTCTCCTTTAAACACACAAAGATGAGCATAAGTTTGAATGACATTCAGGTTGTCAGTGATTATGGGCCGAGGATGTAGCTCAGTTGTTAGAGTGTACACACACACACACACACACACACACACACACACACACACACACACAGATATGACATCAAATTTAAAAGCTAACCTATAACTTGGACTCTAGCTGAATAGTAGGAGCTTTTGGCTAGCATGCATGAGCCTCTAGATTTATTCACAAATATTAGGGAGCTTGGGATGTAGCTGTGTAGCTCAGATGGTAAAGTACCTGCCTACAGGATATGTGAAGCCCTGGGTTCAATCCCCAGCACCACATAAAACTGGGCATGGTGTAGCACACTTGCTAGCTTATCACTGGCCTGTAATCCCAGCACTCCTTTAAAAACAACAACAAATGACTAGTTGTATCATACAAAACTTTTTCTAGTCTCTATTTTAACAAATCCAAATATCTATACAAGTTGATGCTACTATATATTAAATAGTTCTTATTTTCATTAATTAATATTTGTGTTATTTTGCAGGGTGAGCCATATTAAAGACTTCATTGAAAAATACCAGGGATCTCAGAGAAGCCCTCCCTTTGCCCTGGCAACAGCTCTTCCTTTCCTCAGATTTCTGGATGAGACACTCACATTGGAAGAAGCAGATTTGCAGAATGCTGTAGTCATTCAGAGACTCCAGAAAAGTGCTGAGCCTTTTAGAAAGCTCTGATAGTTTTAATTTTTGAGAGACTGAGAGAAATGATGGTTGGAAGTGGACATGCAGAAGTGGGAGATAGAAGTCAGTGTGACTGAACTTGTGGTTTGAGCGATACTTAATCCCTTATGAGGGGGGGCTTAATAATCACAAGCTAGGAAAGTAACATATGGCTGGAAACCATACTCAGCGCACTTTTCTCAAAAGGCTACTCAGAAAAAAAAAAATCCCTATTTTCAAATACTAAATAACCAGTATAATATATTAAATAGCTGTATCATTAATCTTAATGTAGTCTAAATTAGCAGAGTATTCACACGCATCAGCATTCAAACATTATTTCCAAACAGCAGATATTTATATAAATGTTAGCTATCTCAGTTTTAAAATAGCAATACATTAAAATATACTGACATGTTGAAAGCATCGATGTAATTATTATATTGCCTCATCTTCAGAGCTTGTCAGTTTTCACTCTGAGATATTCAAATATTCATTTGGCAACGTATCCAAAATGTATACTCTTGTGTAGCTTAGTATAATGTCAGTATTAATCTGTCTACACACTTTTCTGTATCTTCTATATGTAATTTTATGGGCTGGAAATATAAATATAGTTCAGTGATAGATTATTTGCCAAGCATATATGAGACCCTAGGTTCAATTGATCCCCTGCACCACACACACACAAACCCTCAAAGTTTTCAAATATTTATTCATTTTAAAATAGTAACTGGGAGCCAGGCATGGTGTGTACACCTGTAATCCCAGCACTTGGGGAGGCAGAGACAGATCTATGGGTTGGGGGCCAGCCTGGTCTACAAAGCGAGTCCAGGACAGCCAAGGCTACAAGAGAAACCCTGTCTCAAAAAACCAAAACTAATAATAATAACAGCTTCAAAACTGCCTACAGTGGTGCATGCCTTGTAGCTCTAGCGAACACCAAGCTGACAGTGGAGGATCACTTGAGCCAAGGAGTTCCAGTCAGCCTAAGCAACATAGCAAAAAACCCTGTCTATAGTAGCAACTTTATGCCTAGAGCAAAGGCTCAGCAGTTAAGAGAATTGGCTGCTCTTGCTGTGGATCCAGGTTCAATTTCCAGCACCCACATGGCAGTTCACAACCATCTGAAACTCCTGCTCCAAGGGATCCAACTCCCTCTCTGAGCTCTATGGGCACTGTACTCAAGTGCTACATAGACTTACATGCAGGCAAAACACCACACATGTTAAATTTTTAAAAATTAATAATTTCCAAAGCATGAAAAGATTTATTGAGAAAGGTGGCATTGTACTTCCTTTTTTCAGAAAATGTAATGTCTGACTTAATGACGATAAATGATTCTCACCTGTTTCTATATTCACTATGTTGCAGTATCACGTATCTTATAGCCTCTGGAACAGCAGTTTTCATTTGTGAGAATGAAAAAGAAGCATGTAACACTATATGATTAGGAAAGCCATTTTGACAAAGGGTCATTTGGAAGTCCTTCCCAAAGGACTAATACCTGACCAAACATGGTAGCTCACATATGTGACCATATCACTTGGGAGCCTGAGGCAGGAGGATTACCAAGAGGTAAAGCCCAGCGTGGGCTACAGAATGAGACGATGTTAAAATGACAAAGTCTATTCCTGCCACCTACCACAAGCATGCTTCACTGTCTGAGACAGGTGTCAATTCCATTTGGAATCTTGAGTGAGTCATAGGTAGTGATTAGTGTAACTGCAGGAATTCTGTACTAGGCCTCAGTCCACACTGTACTCCTCACCAGGGGCGTGGGCAGCTCCACCCAAATGCAGCTTCTACACCTCAGCTTTGTCTTCCCAAGTTTACTCAGGCTGAACTACTTGCGACGAAACCTGTGCCTTGCCTCCCATCCACAGATGAAGGCAGGGCTGGGAAGTGTGATGAGGTTTTAAGTAAGACTCAGGAATAACAAGAGGAAACCTATGTATGTAACTGGATGTCCTGGATCAGCCCTTTGTTCTGCAGTCTTATTTTAAAGATCCTTTCTTCCTTGCCAGGCTTCTCTGTATTTTCGGTGGGCAGTGGGGACAAGAGGACTAAGGAGAGCATTTTCATTTTGCCCTTTACCTAGGAAATCGGCAGGACTGTAATAGAAAGTTAAATTATTTGTCAATAATGTTTACACAACAGTATCAGAGCCCTCTTTAGCAAAGCAAATAATTACTTTCGTAACAAAAAAGAGGATAGTAAAATCAATGGTTTTATCTTACAGATATAGGCAAAAACTTTTGATTGTTAATATGTTCAGGAATCTCTAAGGAAATGTTTCATAAAGGCCTATCATGAAACCTTTCTGTTTGCATAGTTATAATTGATAAATGGTTTTCTGTATTTTTATGAGGAGCCTCTCACAAGAATGTTTCTTGTGTATCTACAAAAAAGGGGGGGAAGCCTCCTTTGTGGATATTCCAATTAACCAGAAGCTCTAGTGGGGTTTTCTTGTTTGTCCACATAGAGTATATGCCAGGGAGAGGTTCTAATAGGAAAAATGGTCATCAGCAATAACTAGCATTTTTTTTAAACTGTGAAAATGTTGTAAATATATTCTCAAAGATTTCCTTAAGATAATCATCTGGTAAAGCTTTTTACTTGAAAATTCACAAGTTGTAAAGTTTAATGTATAGACTCCTTATTATAGTTGACTTTGGAAGACTAAATTGCCCAGGGAAGCAAAACTTGAAGTGAGTGAATATCTTAGGAGTGGGATGCAGCTTGATCCAAGTCTTTGCTTTAGAGCTGTCATCAGTCATTTGTCTTGCAGATGAAATGGACACATCAAAGCATACCTGATTGTATACATCCTAATTTGCCAGCTAGATTACTATGCACTGTCAAAGCTAAAATAATCTTACTTTATCACAACTCATTCAATATATTTCATGATGTTTCCATACATTGACAGTGTAGTAGTTTGTATCTATTTTAGTGCCTTAATATATTTTTGATGCGGTATTTTGCTAATGGTTAAATGAACGGTTCCCTTAAAGATAAAATGCTCTTCATTGAAAGGATATGTTAAATAATTTACACCTGTTGTAAAAATAGTTACTTGTGAATGCTTTTGTCTTTTTTTTTTTTTTTAATGTGGCTAGGTCATTCAGTTTGAGAATCTATTATTTGATCTAATAATTATTAGATGCCTTTCTTTAAGCAATGTTATTTTTATTTCATACTCAGAAATGTGAAAAAGTGATATTTTTGTAGCTGTCCAATGGTTGTATTTATTCTTATGACGTAGCATGGAAACGTATGAATAGTGTTTACTCTTTTGTCCTTCTCTGCCACAGAACGAAACACTTCAGTAAAAAGTTGCTCCTCACACTGAGTCCTCAGTGAGAAGTGGCTTGCTCATTACAGTTATGTCTGGCTCCTTGTCATTTGTTTTAAATTGTTTTGGCACAGACAGTTCATACTCATAACTTAGACTCATTTTAGAAAATTATATATATTCTAAAGATAATCTCAGGATAAGTTGACTTGGTATCTCAAGATGGCTGTAATGGCAGTCACAAAAGAAAACAGAATCAATGATTTTTTTTAAATGTACTCAACTATATTATTCAACCATGATGTAATTTTGGAAAGTTGCATCTCCTTGAAAAGCAGTACCGTCTGGGCAGTGGTGGTGCAAGCTTTTAATCCCAGCAGCTGGAGGCAAAGGTAAGCAGATCTTAGTAACTGAAGGTTAGCTTGGTCTACAGAGCCAGTTTCAGGATAGCCAGGGCTACACAAGAGAAACCCTGTCTCTGAAAAAGGCGTGCACTGCCACAGCCGGCATAAGCATTTTTTGTGTGCTTATAATTCATCTATATATAGTGAGTATCACTTTAAAATGAGATTTTTTTTCCTGTTATTTGCATATCCCAATACAAGTGCTTTATAACCTGTGTTATCTCTCACAATTGGGAGAACACATCTTGCCACGTGATTATCTGCAGCACAAAGTTTTTCATTTTACTGTAGTGCAGTTTGTGGTTGTGTCCTTGAGGAACGGTTGTTTAATGTGTACACTGACCTATTGCTGCCTGACTTTAGGTCCCAGCCTGTGCCCCCAACCAGACAGGTTGAAGCATCCACCCTCCATACATCAAAGTCAAATGAATAGTGAAAAAGTGAGAAGGGAGGTGTATTCAATGTGAGCACACTGGGGAGCCGAACTCAAAGATCCAGTGGCCTCCCGAGTCCATCTCCAAGAGAGTGTAGCTCAGCACTCCAGCCATGGTGGACTCGGCAAGGGTGACAGATTGGAAATCTTTCTCTCAAGAAGTTCCTCCTCGAAGGGGAGGAGGACCTTTTCAGTGGACTGGGAGAGCGACACCAGTGGGGAAGAGGGAGAGTGGGGTTGGGTGGGGAGGGGGGAGGAAGGTACAGGTGGGGATACAAAGCAAATAAACTAATAAAGATTTTTTTTAAAAAGTTCCTCCTTTGTCCTTTTCTCCAAGGTTTTGGTTTTGGTTTTTTGGGGAGAGTGACTAATTTCTGGTCACTAATTTCTGCTTGTTTCAGCAGTCTGATAATACAAGGAAGACTGGTATAAAACTGTTTCAGAGTTTTATACAGTGTAGTCCTTTGTTATGTCTTTTAATTTATGTATTCATTTATTACAGTTTATTCACTTTGTATCCCGGCTGCAGCCCTCTCCCTTGTCTCCCCTCTATGCCCCTTCCCTAGTCCGCTGATACCATTTGTGTCTTCAAGACACAATGATATGTACTCACTTAGAAGCCTGTTTTGTTTTTCAAGACGGTGTTTCTCTGCGTAGTCCTGGCTGTCCTGGAACTCGCTTTGCAGGCTGGCCTCAAACTCAGATCTATCTGCCTCCCAGAATGTTGGGATTACAGGACTTGGTTACAGTCATACCTACAAGTTAACTGTAGTGAAGCCTGGGAGATGTGTAGTTCAGGCTGAAAACCCTCTCAGCCACATTTTAATCACAACAAGTGGACTGTATTGCTTCATTTAAAGAGTAAATTTATTTGCTGGCTTTCACCCACTGGGGAGAGGGCAGGGGACTAGTTGAGGGTTTCTGTCTAAACACAAGTCTACCAAGAAAAAAAAAAAAATCAAATCGTCCCTGAGGACTTGGCTTTCCCATGTGTATGGAGATGGGTGAGTTCCTTCTTGGAGAGGAGAATCCCTGAAGCTTGGAGGTCCCGGGGATCCCCACGCTGCTGGGCAAGCTACATGCGGCTGCTGGGCTCCTGCACGGGCCCCAGCCGCGCCCACTAGGCCAGGTCCACCCCTCTGGATGATAGCACCCAGCGCTGCTGCAGTCAGAGCGGAGCAGCCTGCGTGATGTCCATGTCGTCGCCCCAAGGACCCACCCAGGCTCCTGTCGCAGAGCCTCACACCGAGGAGCCAGGCTCGGTGAGCGCCTGGGGCGGGGGTGGGGGTGGTCGGTTGTTGAATGGGAAGCTGTGCTGCTCGGGAGCGGCGCTCCCACGGTCAGGGAAAAAAGGCACCTGCCACAGCACTTTGGCCAGATGTTGGGCAGAGTGCAGTTTGCTGCCACTGGGATACCCCAGAGAAAATAGGAAGGCACCCTGAGTCCTGACTTGAGGTAACAGCGCTTCATTCAAGACAGGCAGGAAGGACCAGATCTCTAGTGCCCTGACCACAGGCCCGCTGCAGGTCCTCCTGGAGGCCTCTTCAGCCCTGGCAGATGTTGGTAAATGGGCTGCTTCCCTTCACCAAACTCCCTGTGGACTTAGCCTCCCTCCGAAATCCTGGAGGTTCTTCTGAGAAAGTCGATTCCCTCGGGCGCGCCCAGGCAGGCTGCTTTACAGGTGGATGGGAACCCAAAGTATCCCTAGACCCTCTGCGTTCTCTTCGTGGATAGAGCTAGGCCTAGGGGCTGTTAAGGCTGGTGCCAATGCCAAAGAGTAGTTAAGAGCCTCTGGGCTGTGTCTTTCAAATTTCAGAATCTACCCCTGCAAGGTATTTCTGCGGCTTCAACTGACTCCATCCCCTGTTTTGACTCAAAATTTGTTTTTAGGCATCTCAGAGGAAAAAACTGAGAGACCTCTATGTCTCAGTGTGCCTGTAGTCCCAGTTCCTGACTGGAGATGCTGAGGTAGAAAGATCCCATCATGTTCTGGGAAACATAGTAAGACCCACTGCCTTAACAATTAGAAAATCTCGATGAGTAAAGATGTAGCCCACTGGCAGAGGGTTTGTCCAGCAAGATAAGACTCCTATACTGGGGGTGAGGGGTGGGACCATCCGGAACTCTCATTTTCCCGGGGAATTTAGAGAATTGAGGTGACACCTTTCACATTGAGGTGAAAGAAAGAAAGAAAGAAAGAAAGAAAGAAAGAAAGAAAGAAAGAAAAGAGAGAAAAACAGAAACAAAAAAGTGAGACTGCCATTAGGCAGTATTTAATTATCCCAAAAATATTTGATATGGACGTTTCTGCATTTTGCTTGTCAAGAAACTGAAGCTCAACAGGGATCCCTTGCCTAAGTTTCACACAGCAGTTTGTCAGTCTGTAACGTGTAGATTCAATGGACTCTAAAAGGCTAATGGGATAAGGAGAACAGCGTCATTCAGAAGACACAAAACTGTATCATCTTAGTTTCAACTGGAATTTGTTCTGATGGCCCTCTGTTACCCAAAACCTCCACAGGCCCATTTAGGGAAGGAGGCTCACTATGGGATGGAAATCTACTTGCACTGGATTCTGCCAATTTAGTTTTTCTGGAAGATGCAGCAGTGTTCACATAAATGTCAGAAAAAGAATGCACTCAGCCTTGAGTGAGGTTTTTCTCCTGGGGTAGGAAGCATGTGTGAAGTGTGTGATAAGCCTTATCTAGGAGGACCTTCCCTTCCATGCAGTCTGCCTGTGGTGTCTTCAAGATACTGAAATGGACAATGTCCTAGCTCCCTCCCACCCCACTTCTGTCCTCAGGCAAATAATGGAAAAGGGATTCCTAGCATTATTTGAAGATAGAGTACTTTACAGTGTCCTAATGGCCAGTGACTGCTTTTGAAATAATACATGTGTACTAGAGGCACTGCAGTGAGTGAGAATGGGTAAGCTCTCAGCTTCCATGGTGGTGGGGAGTCGTAGGGAATGAATGAGAGTATACCAGGCAGTCTGGGCAACACGGTTGTCAGGGAATTCCTCTGAGGAAAAAACATCGAAACTCATACCCAGTGGGAAGCACTGAACTCTTCCTGAAGGACACACAAGTACCTTCTAGAGATACAAAGACTGGTAGAGAGCAAAGGTCTCAAAAGGTTTGAACAATAAGAAACCCCAACAGATCTGTAGGCGTTAGTATGGCTGTCCTATGTTATACGGCTAACATCAGCTTATAAGCGAATGTACACCATGCATGTCTTTCTGTTTCTGGGTTACCTCACTCAGGATGATATTTTTCTAGTTCCATCCATTTGCTTGAAAATTTCATGATTTTCCTTGTTTTGAATAGCTGATAGCTTTGGGCAGATGGCAAGGGAGAACTCCCCCTTTCAGCGGACTAGAGGAAGGGGGGGAGAGGAAGGAAGGGTGGGACTGGGAGGAGTTGAGAGAGGGGGCTTCAATTGGAATATATAATGAATAAATTGTGAAAGAAAATAAAAAATGTAAAAAGAAGTAGGAGAACATTAAATTTATATTTTTATATATAAAAAAGGAACCCCTACAGAGAAAGCTATTTGAAGTGAGGAATGGAGTGGGAGCAGAGTGGGGTCCTGTAGGCCATCTGGAGGACATGGACTTTTACTAGACAATGAAGACAGGCAAGTTGTGCGTTTTAAGCAGAGGACATACATCACCTGGTTTATTCAAAGAGCACCAGCTGCTGCAGGAAGAGTGTGCTAGAGGCAGAGGGGCCCTTAGGGGGCTCATCTGATAGATTTGGCAGGGGGCTTTGGGAGGAACCAAGGATGGCCAAGGTTGGTGGCCTGAGCCACTGAGCAAACATCAGTGTTATTTAATGCAATGTGGCAAATGGGGTTCGGAGCTGGTTTTCATAGTGGGATAGTAGCAAGGAGCTGTGTTTAGAGCATGTGCGGCTGTGAGTTGGCAAGCAAATGTTTAAGACTCCACGGGATGGCTGGGGGACTGTGCTAGCCCACTTTCCCGGCTCTCACACTGCTTTGTAATGCCGCTGTGTGGAGAGACAGCCTTTCCAGGAGAAAAGGGGAGAGCTCTGATTTGTACGGTGTGCTGCTGTCTACAGGGTACACACCCTCATCACAGCTGGTGCCAGGGGCTCAGCAGGTGGCTTGCAAAAGTCACAGACTGGATGACTGAGTAGGTGAAGGCACCTGCCACCAAGCCAGACACTTTGAGTTCGATACCTAGGGTCACCATGATGGAGGAGAGGGCGTACTATGACCTCCACATGT